ATAAAATAAATAAATAAATAAATAAATAAATAAATTCCTGCATTTACTTTAAATGTGCTTATTATGGGGATAAATTACTACAGTATATTGTTTACCATCTTTTTCTCACTCCCCCAATGTTTTATTTTATTTTATATTTGTAGAAACCTCCCTCTGGCTGTGATTGTGTCGGTGATCACTGTGGTTATTGGGTATATGCTTACTAATGTTTCCTTAAATAAATAAATAAATAAATTCCTGCATTTACTTTAAATGTGCTTATTATGGGGATAAATTACTACAGTATATTGTTTACCATCTTTTTCTCACTCCCCCAATGTTTTATTTTATTTTATATTTGTAGAAACCTCCCTCTGGCTGTGATTGTGTCGGTGATCACTGTGGTTATTGGGTATATGCTTACTAATGTTTCCTACTACACCGTACTGACAGCAGCAGATGTCCTTGCCTCCCAGGCAGTAGCCGTGGTGAGTTGAAAGCCAGCATTGTTGTTAATATCAGATCCAGTTCCTTTCACCACTACCCCCTGGGAGGGTTTGATCTGCAGTAGAGGGGGTGAGAGCTCAGTTTCTAAAACAGCAGGAAATTAGCATTGGTTTCACCAAAGGAAGCCTTCTAGAGTTGTTTTTTCTGTCCTGAGGTAGAAAATCTAAGGAACATTCCTTCAGGGAGAGAGTTAGGGGTGGGCGTGGGGTGGGGTATTATCACCTTGAGACTCCAGCTGTGCTTTTCCTTTGCTATTTATGTTCATTTATAGCAAAATTGCAGTCTGTTAGTTTTAGTCATTTCCTAGAACTGAGCCAAAACGTCTTAAAAGATGCTTTCCAAGGCAAAATAACTTGAGATTTCCCTTTTTTTTAACCACCCTGTTCCTCCTCCCCCAGAAAAAAAGGTCAGTTTGAAGAACTATCTTTAAATCCTCTTCACTGTTTTTCTTGGTGGTTTCTGTTTTCTTTCCTCTCCACAATACTCTGGGATTCAGAAACAAACGGCACAAATAAGTATCATTTGAAGAGGCAATTCCTTAACTGCTAAAAGCATCTGAGTACCCAGCAGGTGCCTTTCTCACCTTATATAGTTTACTTTCTTTTGTGATTAGACTTCACTTAGGACTAAATCACAGGATTCCTTTGAAACTGATATCTTAAATACATAAGTCTGCCTGAATGATGTGTCTCTAACACTAATGTGCTGGAGCTCTAATCATGGAGTACCTATAACAACCTTCCTGCTCTTATTGTCAACAGTTGGGAAGGTGTGATAGATCATCTTCTGAGCACTGACTGCTATTACGTAGAATGAGGAAAGTTTGGAAAAGTCCGTTTTTAGAATGCTTTCTCATTAGGTTAGCATGACTAGCTTCTGGGAATTGTAGGACCAAACAATAACATATACCAGCCCCAGGGATGAAGGCAATAGGTGAGAAAATCTGAAAGGAGGAGAGGTTCCTAGGCCTGTGGGTGATCAACTGAAGCATTAGTCAAAGAGGCCATAGGTCAATCAATAAACATCACCTGATGATTTTTGCTCCCGCTGAATCTATTCACCAGTAGCCTCATGTTTCTGAATTCAAAGTGTGCTGTTTCCCTCCATAGAGTTTTGCACGCAAAGCATTCCAGAGCCTCATCTCAGTGATCCCGATCCTGGTTTCCTTGTCTTGCTTTGGAACCATGAATGGAGGTATCTTTACATTCTCAAGGTGAGCTACCTGCTATGTCCAACCTAACGTCAGGGGCAGGGAATCTCTTTTGGCCTAAGGGTCGAGTCTGTACCAGGGAAAGATGCCTGGGCCCATCTGCTACCAGTGGGGTGGACAGGCTGTGGTCTGTAGTGAGGGGGAACATAGCCCAAAGGGGGACGGGGCTGGTGGTGTTTCGCTTTTTCCCACTCAAATGCCCTTCCCTTTTCTATCTCTCCCCCCCCCCAAATTTATACCTGTTCATGCTACTTACCTGTTCACAGATCTATAACCAGCGCAGAGCGACTGGCGTTTCGACCAAGGGTGACAAAATTTAGAGGTGCAAAAATGTGCTGTTAGAAAGGTGCAAATATACCTATTATCATTTGCTGGTGGAAGTGAAGGGATCTGCAACTTCTCCACCACTAGCCGCTCTGCCCAAGACAGAAAATAACAAAAAAAGAGTGTGGAACTCACGTGGTCATCATGCACTCAGGCCCAAGCATCCCTTCCCCATTTCTCTGCCCTCTCCCTTCAGGCAATTAATCTCACGTGCCTGGAACTTAGCTAACAGAGCAGCAAAACTCCTGCTGCCAAAATTGCTGGTGGAGGTTGTGCTTATTCACTTACCCATACTGGAGAGTGAAGGAGGGGAAAATAACCTCCCTCATCCCACAGTGACCTCCACTGTGCTTCACTGCTCAGCCCCCGCTGAGAAGCCCTTTCTGGCTTTTAGGCAGAGCTTGGAAACAGGTACATACTTTTAGGTGGGGAAATTCTAGGAGTCGTAGCTCAAAGGGGTAACTTTCCCAAGCTTTGTTCTCATGCCTTTTAGGCTTAACGCCTCTCTAAATTCTCGTTGTTGGTGCTTTTTAATCCAGTGCTTTTTATCTGTGGATGTTCATACTCTCCCTCCATCCTAAATTTGGATTTCTTTAAATATATTGTGTGGTGGTTTTTTTTAAAAAAAATACTCTGTAATGCTTTGAGAGTTGTTGGCTAAAGGGGAAAATGATGTAAAAGGACAAAAAGGTAAAGGTAAACGTTCCCCTTGACAATTTTTGTCCAGTCGTGTTCGACTCTAGGGGGCGGTGCTCATCCCCGTTTCCAAGCCATAGAGCCAGCGTTTTGTCCGAAGACAATCTTCCGTGGTCACATGGCCAGTGCGACTTAGACACGGAACGCTGTTACCTTCCCACCGAGGTGGTCCCTATAGATCTACTTGCATATGCATGCTTTCGAACCGCTAGGTTGGCGGGAGCTGGGACAAGGGACAGGTGCTCACTCCGTCGCGTGGATTCGCTCTTATGACTGCTGGTCTTCTGACCCTGCAGCACAGGCTTCTGTGGTTTAGCCCACAGTGCCACCACGTCCCAAATCCAGATTCCTAATAGATAGACTCCTTGGGTATGATTGCCGCTTATTTTCTCCTTCTAGGACACTCTTTGTCGCTTCAAGGGAGGGTCAGTGGCCTCCTCTCTTCTCTATGATCCATATCCATAGACATACACCCCTCCCAGCTGTCATGTTGATGGTAAGAGCCTGCTGTTTTCCCACTACATTGATAATAAGAGCTCAGGATAAGTTCTTCTTCTTCTTTAGCTACAAGTCTTTGAGTCTTCCCAGCCAGCAGAGGGATTCAGAGGCTGGAGTCCTGTTACGCCATGAATGCAAGTGGCAGAACATTTGAAAGTGAGATAACGCAAGTTAAGAAATCTCCGTAGAGATTATCTGTTGCATATGGATTTACATGACTCTGCATGCAACAGATAAGGTATGTGGAAATTTCTTAACTTGCAGCAATTCGCCACTGAAAGTTACACCCCTTGTGTAACTGCACAAGAGGATTTCAGCCAGGGAGTTGTTTTCTTTTTTAAAAAGGAACTTTTCCCAAGCGTTGGACAGATCATCTTTTTCAACTACTTCTTTTAGAAAGTCTGAGATGATTAGAGAAACAACCGTGGCAATTCTGTAAAAATAATATTTACTTTCATGTTTATACCCTGTGTTTCCCTCAACCTACCATCCAGAATAACACAATGCCTAATGGAGGCTAGAGAACAATAACAGGAGATGCCATTGTAAGCATTGACACTGCTTATAAGATTTAAAAGGGGTTTGCAATGTAAAAAGAATTTAAAGACAGTGACTTTAGTTGAATGGCAATTTTAAAAAAATGTTCAGAAATACAATAATCTATTTCTAGCATCCCTGAACCCGTTTCTCTCCCAAGTGCTGGGCTAAAACTCACATGTACTGTAGAATCAAGGGCAACTGTAGGCCAAATGGTCTGAAGTTGAAGAAGGATGGTCTTCCTTGTTGACTTCAATGCATGCAATAAATCACATTACTCAATTTTAAAAAAATGTTCAGAAATACAATAATCTATTTCTAGCATCCCTGAACCCGTTTCTCTCCCAAGTGCTGGGCTAAAACTCACATGTACAATCAAGGGCAACTATAGGCCATATGGTCTGAAGTTGAAGAAGGCTGGTCTTCCTTGTTGACTTCAGTGCATGCAATAAATCACATTACTTCTGCAAAGTCTGTTTCATGCAAATTGAATGCCGTATCTTAGGCAGAAGTGACCGTCTATGCATCTACTGGGGCTAAAACTCACATGTACTGTAGAATCAAGGGCAACTGTAGGCCAAATGGTCTGAAGTTGAAGAAGGATGGTCTTCCTTGTTGACTTCAATGCATGCAATAAATCACATTACTCCTGCAAAGTCTGTTTCATGCAAATTGAATGCCGTATCTTAGGCAGAAATGACCGTCTATGCATCTAAGCCACATGGAAGAGTGAAATGGAAATGGAAGCATGGTCAAGGAAAAAGAATAATTCCAAAAGTGTAAGAGATATTAAACAAAACCAAACATATTTTAACTGTTCTGTTTGCATTATACTCTTCCACATTGCCATTGGTGTGAGCACTTCGGTTCTTCCTGAGCTTTCAGAAGGAGGATCTGGTGTCCCCTTGTGTGAGCATTGAGAGCTGCAATGGTGCGATCTCTGAGTTGTGTCAAGGCAGAAGAGAGATCCCAACAGGTGCTACATGTCAATGGATTCTCACACTCCACAACTGCAAACAATATATTGGCCTTACCTCTTTTTTTCTGTAGCAAACTAAAATGGCTACTCCCCATATACTTTCTGGAAAGTATTAAGGCAGGTATTATGGAAAATTAACAGTTAAGTGTTTTGTTAACTCATCAGGCCAGCAGGGGTACAGTGATATGCAAGTACTTAGGCCAGTCCACTATATTTTTGGATGATTAATCTGTTTTTTTTAATTAATCAGTTGACACCTCTGGTTGACACCCATCAATGTGTTCCACATGGATTATTTTGTAAAGTATTTCAGCAGATTACTGTATTTTTTGCACCATAAGACTCACTTTTTTCCCACAAAACAGGGGGGTGGAAAGTCTGTGCATCTTATGGAGCGAAGAAAACAGATTATATTTTCCTGTTTTCTTCTCCTAAAAAATTGGTGTGTCTTATGGAAAGGTGCGTCTTATAGAGTGAAAAATACGGTAATTCTCATATGATTATTTTGTAAAGTATTTCAGCAGATTAATTCTCAATAGGTCAGAATACTGACATCCATAATTGACTGTCCCAGATATGTATGTTTTGACCTTGGGCAAAGTTCTTCCACTCCCCATAATAACATCCCATGCTGAATGCTGATTTTCTTCAGTCAAGGATCTGTATCTTTGCACATCTTTGTACCGCAAGCATTGACATCACTCCAGTGTAAACCGGGTGAAGAGGGAATGCTCGAGATTCACAGCCTCCTATCCACACCCGAGAAGACAACTTTTGGTCTAATGTTCAGCAACCTCCTGGTGATCAAACTGAGACGATGATTTACTGAAATGATTTTATCTCTGCCCCCCTCAGTTCCCCCTGGTTACAGCCATGATTTGTGTGGGAGAGCTCTACCACCTGCTGAACTTCTTCAGCTTCTCCCGGTGGCTCTTCATTGGCTTAGCTACCCTTGGACTTACAGTTCATCGTTGCCGTCATCCCGAGATATCGAGCCCATTCAAGGTAAGGCATAGCTGCCGCTCAGAACTTGACAGATTCCTTATCTGTCCCACAGAATTCCCAGAATTCCCTTGCTGGCATGACCACTAGCCATGATGGTGGGGTATTCTGGGAGATGAGGTCTAAGCAGGTAACTATTCCAAGCTTTCAGATGTGGCGATGACGCTTCCCTTTGTTGGCATCTTTTTTTCCTTTTGGGCACAAAGAATAATAAGAAGGGCAGAAAACTAACTTAGATTCAACTGCCGTTCAAATAAGTAACTTTTCTAAGCTGTGCTTATCACTGTTTTACTCTTCCATGGAAACTCATTTTCTGTACATTGATGGTTAAAAGTAGTGCTTAAAGACTAGTCTTTGTGAGCTGAAAGAATTCTGCTTCTAATCTCACCCTCAGCAGAGATAAATTCTCGCCGACCAACAACTTGATTCTTTCTGGGACTAGTTTTGAGGCAATGTGGTGCAGTGGTCAGAGAGATGAATAAGGACTAGGAAGGTCAGGGTTTAAATCCTCTTTCAGCTATTCATTCATTCATTTTATTTATAACCTGTCTATCTCCCAATAATGTTATTCAAGGCAGCTGACAAAAAATTTAAAAGACAAGTATGGTTAAAATAATACTTTCAGACACTTATAAACTAAGTAAAAGAAAAAGAAATACAAAGCCAGCTCCAGATGGGCTTCACCACCTTTCCTAGCTGCCTAGGGATGATGAGAATTATAATCCAACATATTTGAAGGGCACTCCGTGAGGAAAAACTGTTAGGATAACAGCTCTTGCAGACTACAGTATTTTCACAATTCCTAAGGCAGAACATTTATGATCACACGATTGCTATGCAGGTCCTGCCTCCTTGTGGCCACAAACTAGATTTTTAAAATGTTCTTATCTTTCTAAGGAAGACTTCTTTGGCTTATCCATACAATGTTTAAGTTGCAAGGCCAGGTTGCCCATATTTAGCACATCCAACACTGGTACGCACCAGCAAGAAGTCCTCACATGGAATAATCCATGGTGAATAACAAAGCAGAAAAATTGCAGTTGTAAGCTTCCAAAAAGGAGGACTTTTAAAAAATTGAAGACAAAGGCATCATGAGGGATGGGGTGGTTTGTGGGAGAGCTCTACCACCTGCTGAACTTCTTTGCCGGTGTATACATAAAATGGATTTACAAAATGGGTGGTGGCAAAACAATGGGTAAAACAGTGATGACATAGCTCTACAGCTGTGGGGTTTTTTTTTAAAACAGTGATGACATAGCTCTACAGCTGTGTTTTTTTTTTAAGGGATGGTTGTGACTTCCTGCTTTGAATGGGTTATGGTGTTGCTTTTGTTTACCGTTTTTTAGTATGGTATTTATTTGATCCTTTTAAGTATCTGTATACTCACTGTTGTTAGCTTCAAATTCTGTTCTTTTAATAATGTAAGCTGCTTTGGGTCGTTTTTAAGGAGAAAAGCAAGATAAAAATACTTTACATAAATAAATAATACTATACGCGTAAATGACAGTGACAGATGTCTAGCTTCAGATCTGACCCTCTCCTTACACTATTGCATCAGGCAGGCTGCCTGCCTTATAAAAGAAGAATTATACAATGCATGCCTGAATTCGTGTTACACAGTTTATAAGAGAAATGCAATACAATCTCCAAAAAGAGATGAATACCAATTTTTTTAATGAACCAGGGTTTTTTTTT